TGGGTTTGCAGTGTGCACTGCTTTGGGAGGGAAAAAACGAGAAAAATGGGAACTTGAGGTTGCAGTGTGTGTCTCTTTTCTGTGGTGACAGGGACAGGACCCATGGAAATGGCTGGAGCTGTGCCAGAGGGGTTTAGGTGGGATCTCAGGGAAAGGCTCTCCCCCAGAGGGTGCTGGCACTGCCCAGGCTGCCCAGGGATGGGCACAGCCCCGAGGCTGCCAGAGCTCCAGGAGCCTTTGGACAATGATCTCAGGGATGCCCAGGGTGGGATTGCTGGGGGTCTGTGCAGGGCAGGGGCTGGACTGGATGATCCTTGGGGTCCCTTCCCACCAGGAATATCCCAACTTGGGATATTCTGTGATCCTATGATACCATAAGCTGCATTTATGCTTTCAGCCTTTTCAGAGGATTTTCCTGCTAAGGAGCCAAGTACACTTAATGGCAAATTTTTTTTTAAGGGAAAATGCAATAAATATGTTTGTACTTGCACAAGCAAGAAGGCTTTTGAGGGGCTGCTAAAAATGAGTTTTCCTTGAGACCTTTGTGTTTTGTAGAGGATTCACGTGTTTAGTCTGTTAACAGGCAAATGGATTGTGACCAATGGTAAAAGGCTTGAATACAATATGCTAATGTAGCATTTAATTCAAAGAAGAAATTATGAATGTTCTTTTTATCCTATAAATATTTTCCTTGGGTTCTAATGGTTTAGTTCCTTCCATTATTTTTTTCACCAAACCTCTTTCTTCAGTGTTTATGTGGGCTGTGTGTTTGTAAGCAGACATGCAAACCTTCCCTCACTGGACTCTGGCTTCTTGTTGCAGAAGTTCCCCGAGCTGAAGTTTAAGTACGTGGAGGAGGAGCAGCCTGAGGAGTTCTTCATCCCCTACGTGTGGTCCCTGGTGTACAACTCTGCCGTGGCCCTGTACTGGAACCCCCGTGACATCCAGCTCTTCACCATGGACTCGGGCTGAGGGACACCGGGCCAGGCCAGCCCCGCTCCATCCTTCAGGAATTGAACCTCTGCACCCCTTCCAACCTGACCCCTCCAACTGCCCCCGTGACCCCAGAGCCCGTGTCCAGCCCGGCCTCACGCTGGGACAGTGCTGTGGGGCACTGATGGCTTGTAGGCAACCTTGTGTTTATAGTCCGTAACCTAGAGCTTGTTTGATGAAAATGAGGCCTTACACATGGGGTATGATGTTACTACCAACCACAAACCTGATCGTCCTTTTAACTTAACAGGCTAAATGAGATTGCAGGCTTTGATTTGGAAGCAGTGTTTGTATTTTTGGCTCTTTGGAGCGGGCAGCTTCCTTGGGTCAAGCTTTTTATGGTCTCTTGGATGCTGCCGTGGGGTGCTCGTTACCTAATCCTTGTTTCCACTCACAGCCCTTCGTTTCTGTGGCACTGTCAAGGCTGCAGCCCTTAAATTGCTGTCTACGCTGTCATCCGAGGGAACTAAGCAAGCAGCATCTTAATCAGGTTAGCTCCCAGGCAGATTCAAAACACTTGATTTAGATGTTTGTGGGAGGATTTTCAATAGCAAGTCTTCTGTTGTTGTTGTTGTTTGACTGACAAATACTCTCCAGAGGGCAAGAAACACCTGCTTTTGGAGTCAAGTCCCTTACAGACTTGTTTTTCTGTGCTCCTGTGCAAAATTGTTCCTGGAAATTGAACGTGTAAGGGAAGAGGGGAAAAAAATCCAAAGAAAATAATTACAAGATTGTAAAATAGACCAGTGTCCTGTAAATCTGTGCTTAATGGTGACAGTGTGTTTTGGGGATCCTTGACGAAGCTCTGTGTTGAAAACCTCCTCTTGGCTTTTAAAGTTTTATGGCAGAAGTATAAATTTATCTGAATGTAGAATACTACTCTCTTTTTTTGGTTGTTTTCAAGTGCCCTTTCCTGATATACCTGTTTCAGCAGTGGGAAAAGCAAAAGAAGTGGTGTGATTTTGAAAGAAATCTCATTTTTCAAAGTGGGGATCGTATTTTGGGGATGCCTGTTGCACACACATGCACCCACTCTCCTCGTCCCACGTGCTGCTGTGTGGGGGACTGTCAGCAGTGCATTGCATGCCAAAACTTCAATTTCAAGGAATTAGTTCTTGAAGATGCGTGGCAACCCTCTGTATTCACTGCCTGCTCCAGCATGTTCTGTTTGTTGACCTGAGGAATCGGGTGCGTTTGCTTTCAGAAAGTCCTTGGAATGGCTTTAAATAGAATTTCTTGCACCGTTTCATCCCTCTGAAGGATGTGCTAAGATTGTACTTTCCTTTTATCTGCTTATTTAGAGACAGAAGTCCATTTGAGTCCTACACAAATGGAAATGCTGGCTTATTAAAAAAAAAAAAAAAAAAGAAGAAAAAAATGCTTCCCAAATTTATTTAAATATAGTTGCAAAGGGATATGTAGAGCCCATGAGCATTTAGGGCTTTGAAATGGCAAAGCTTTTGAGAAAAGACGATGGTAAGACTGGAGATGCAGTGTTTTCTTAGGCAAATAGGAGAAATTAATGAACCATGACTGAGCTGCACATAAGTTGATCTGTATTTTGGATTTATTCTGTTTTGTTTTGGTCTTTGAGCAAACGTCAAAAGGGGATAACTATTCTTGGTTACTGTAGTGATTTGTAATTTTGTCTTTATTAAAAGACTAAGAGTGTTTGTGAGTCAACAGGGCTGCCCAGATTTGGAAAGGTCAGTCTGAAGATGCACTTTTAAACCGCGGGCTCTAAAGCTGCTGGGCTGGCTCGATGTTCATCTGTTTTAAACACTCCGGGGTGAGCAGCACCAGAGAGGCCCTGCCAGGGCAGACACTGCTCAGCCAGGTGTCAGACTGCAGAAAACCTGATTTCTCTGTGAAAAGGCTTTTTGCAAGAGAGGAGGAGCAGATGAAGCAGCAGTCTGATGGAAAAGGTCCAGCAGCTGCTGAACCATCGTCGGTGTCGCACAGAAAATTCTCTCTCGCTGTCCTCCCGTTGTGGTGACGCTGAGCTGTGCAGAGGGTTTGTTCTGGTGGCGTCATTTCCTTGTGTGTTTCGTGAAATACCCTGCTCCTGGGTCCCAGCTGGTTTGGAACAGCTGGAGTTACCACCTAAAGCCAAAACAGCAGAGCCAGACCAAGATTTGGGCAGAAAATCATTCTGGTCCCATTGGCTCTCCCAAGAGCTGGAGTGTGACGTGGGCCTGGCAGTGTCCTGACATCTGCAGCCTGGTATGGTCACAAATACTCTGTTTTTCCTTCACCTTAGGGATCCTTTTCATTACTTTGTGTGAAAGATTTATTATGCGTAATTACAAAAATAAAAAAAGATGAAACAGTAAATACAGGGTGGTGTGTTTTATGTCACGGGTCTTGACGTGATCATCAGGCCCAACCTGATCAAGGTTTTATAATGTCCTCCATGATGTGCAATTAAGAAGAGTGTAAATTTATCTGTTGTATAAAGTAAATCAGTGTTCAAGTCAGTGTCTGGTAGGGGAAGGAACATGTCATGCTGCAGTGTCACATGGAATGTCACCTCTTGCCAGCTCAGCTTTAATGGTCACAGCAGCCATGGCCTGGGGGGGCACTGGGAATGCACAGTCATGGGGGGAAGCAGAGAGGGGACAGGGTTGTCCACACAAGACCAGACCTGTGTTCTGCACCCTCACATTCCCTTTTCTGTCCATTTCAGCTGATGGTGTCTCTGGGTTTGGGGTGTAGGGTGGGTGTTGCACCAAGACCTTCTTCTGACCACACTCAAATTTGGGGTGCCCTAACTATGGCCTTCCAGTACCTGCATGTACCAGGAGAGCTGGAGAGGGACTTTGGGAAGAGGCCTGGAAGGACAGAAAAAGAGGGAATGGCTTCTGACTGCCAGAGGGCAGGGATGGATGGGATATTGGGAATTAGGAATTGTTCCCTGTGAGGGTGGGCAGGCCCTGGCCCAGGGTGCCCAGAGCAGCTGTGGCTGCCCCTGGATCCCTGGCAGTGTCCCAGGCCAGGCTGGATGGGGCTGGGAGCAGCCTGGGACAGTGGGAGCTGTCCCTGCTCATGGAAGGGGATGGAGCAAGGTGGGTTTTTAGGTCCCTTCCAACCCAGCCCATTCTGAGATTCTATTACAATACTCTTGCTCTGAGCACTGATCACTGCTGTCACCACGTGCCGTGGCTCCCTGAGCAGCTCTGCAGAAGGAAATCCATCACTTCAGGGCTGGGCAGGAGAAGGCAGGTCTGCTCTCAGAGGACCATCCCTTCCAGAAGACCAAAGGGGCAGCAAAGTCAGCTGCTGTGTAAGCTGTTGGTGAGGAGGGAGTTGTGGAACCTCATGCACGTGTCCCTGGTGAGGCAGAAATCCTCCTGCCTCAGGCAATGGAGTGAAACTCTGCTCTTGCTGTGAAGGAAAGATGGGGATGACAGGAGACGGCTGGAAGAGATAAATGCGCTGGACATCGTCCACTTTGACAAAAGCAGCCCAAAAACCTGCCGGATTTCTTGGTGTTTCTTGACCCTGATAGCCTAAAACCAAAGAGTATTGGCAAGTTACAGGGGGAAAAAGATCCCAAGCTGTTTTGTACGTGCCACTAGATTGTTGATCTACCAGTTAAACAGGAAAGGAAGAAGCAAACAACTCCCCTCCCTTCTTTGGAAACTCTAAAGATTTTGTACAACCTTTTCTACTGGTTTTATCATTGCATATGTTGTCTAATTCAGCCAAGTAAAGGTCAAATCTCATATTTAGTCAGCCCCTCTTGTAATTGATTGGGCTTGATCTGCAAAAACTCCACCTTCTGTGCTGGAAGAGCAGGAGTTTTCTAATGCATTTCACTTCCTAGAATCACCTGACCACTGCAAATCCTTCCCGATTTCTACCCATTCCCCCTTTGGCCACCTTACCTAAAAATTTGTACCGTTTGTACTGGCATTACTGTAAAATTCAGCATCCCAGCTGCTTTGTGCTGGATTCATTGTTAATTTTGGGATTCGAGGGAGTTGTTATTATTCCCATATTTATTGTCTTTTATTGCTAACAGCTAGCAGTGTTGAAGGTGACAGCTGCACACCTGGGAGCAAGACACAACAGCCTCATCCTGAGCCCATGGATCCTGAACCCTCAACTCTGGGCAGGTCCTGGCAGCAGCCATGGTGGCTGTGAGCTCTGGATGGGCAAGACCCAGAACCCCCAACGCCCGGCAAGCACCGGCAGCAGCCGTGAGCGCTGGCAGCGCTGGATTGTGAAGCCCCAGCTCTGGGCAGGTCCTGGCAGCAGCTGTGGTGGCTGTGAGCTCTGGCTGTGCTGCAGGTGTCCCTGGAGACTGAGCCCGGATGCCACAAGGTTGGTGGTGGAGGTTAGGCTGGATGGGGCTGGGAATTGCTCTGGGCTTGGCCAGAAGGCTGGGTTTTTAACTTGTAAGAGTTACTCATTGATGGTGCCTTTGCACAGGCCAGTCATGACCCCCAGATGTGTGTGACAGGTTCAGGGAAAGGATCACAAGGCTGGGAGGTTCCCTGTTTCATTTCACTTTCAGGGAAGGATCCTGTTGGCAGGACATCACCAGGGGAGTGCTCCGGGCCATCCTCCTGCATGAGACATCAGCACACGTCACCAGCACTGCCTGATAACAGCTCTGCCAGCTGCAGATAATGGTGCAGACAAAAGGGCAGCTCTTGCAACCTCCACTGACCCCAGCAGCAGAGCTGCACTTCCTGCTGTGACTTTGGGAGCAGCCACTCATAGGGAGCAGGGCAGGGAGGTGCCTGGGCACGGAGATGGTAGTTTAGAGTAATTACAGAGTGTTTGGGTTAGAAGGGAATTTAAAGATCCCAGGGCTGGAGCCCCTCTGCTCTGGAGCCAGCCTGGCACAGCTGGGGCTGCTCAGCTGCACCAGAGAAGCTCCAGGGACACCTGAGAGCCCCTGCCAGGGCCTGCAGGGGCTCCAGGAGAGCTGCACAGCCCCTGGGGACAAGGCAGGCAGGGACAGCACCCAGGCAATGGCTCCCAGGGCCAGAGGGCAGGGACAGATTTTGGCACACTGGGAATGAGGAATTGCTGGCTGGGAGGGTGGGCAGGCCCTGGCCCAGGCTGCCCAGAGAAATTGATGGGGCCATGGAAATGGCTGCAGAGTTGCATGGACCTGCTCAAAAGCAGCAACCCATGAGCCACATCCCTCCTTTGCAAGCCCCTGGCATTGATTTTGGCATCCCTTCACTGGGAATACCAGGGATGTCCCTGGAGTAACAGCTCTGTGGAAATACTTTGCATTTTGAGGGCAGTTCAGCTCTGCAGAAATGCTTTGCATTTTGGGGCAGTTAACCCCGAACTGCGAGGTTCCAGCTGAGATTGCAGCTCGGATTCATTCAGTCATCAGTGCTGGGTTATTGCTGGTGGATGCATTTTGGATGTTGGGGCTGTGCTGCCTGCCTGCAAGGGAATTAACTCCACGTAGTGTTTGGTGTTGGAGGCTCTGCTACCACCCATGGACTGTGTCAGGCCTGACATGCACTCAGATGAATGAAAATGTCACTATTGGTGAATCCCTCCAGATCATGACTCCAATACACTGTGGAGCTGCCAAACTGTGACAATTTGAATGAGAGATTTAAAGTGGAGGGATGATTTTTATTTTTTTTTTTAATTCTGCTGAAGCGCACGGCATAATCCTTCATCATCACTTTAAAAACTGTCTTAAAATTAATCCAAAATGAATATGTCTTGGCAGACGTGATGAAATGTTCAGCTGTACATAATGTTTTTGCCAGATGTCTTGGCAAACTAAATGGCAGACTTCAGTCTTCCTTGCAGTCACTTTGTGCTGCTGAAAGCCCTGAATGTGATGGCACCCGGGGAAAATTGAGGATCCGGAGAGGAGCAGTGACAAAGTAGGTGACGTCCTGATGATGCTACCCTGGCCCCTCCTCCTATTTATGAAATGACAAAAAAAAAAATGCTTTCAAAGAGCAAAACAGCTTATTAAAAACTGGCAATTTAAACGAGGAACAGCTGTCTTCAGCCTGCTGTTTCTATTTTTGTGCCTGGAGCTGTTGTCAGGGTCCATCCCCTCTCCCCATGCAGCTCCTGCACCCAGTCCGCAGTGCCCCCCATGAATCCTGCTGGGTGTGGGGCTCGGGGTGCAGGGGACCAGGGGTGCTCAGCCCCACCACAGCTCTCTGTCCCTGTTTAAGGACTGAATCAGCTTGAGAATAATGGCAATGAACCACTCAGGAAAAACCATGTCTGCAGATTCAAAACCTCTTACAAAACAGGTTCTCGAAGGCCTAAAAGTGTGGGGTTTTCCCTAAAACAGCCTTGTGTGTTTTTTCGTTGGTCAGCTGTTCCTAGAGGGGGGAAAGCCATCATTCCTTCATGTGGGATATTCAGTATCCATTACATTTACTATGATGAGCTTCAGAATAAATGTTCTGCTCAGTGCCTTGTGTCCTGTCCATGCCTCTGCATGGTGGGCAGTGGAGCAGGGACAACAAACAGAACTGTTCTCACCCTGAAATGAAGCTCTTCTTGATGGCTCCAGGAAAAAACCCTCACCTTGCCCCCCCAAAAAAACCAGCCTTGCGAATTTCTCCCAACTGAAACACAAAGTGAAAATTAAATTTAAATTATTGTCTTTCTCCTAAATCAAATCTCACAGGCGCCAATTGCCCTTTAAAAGGTCAAGCTTTTAGCCCACAAAATTGTAATCGATGTTTTATTGATCTAAGCAACTGCCATAAACTACAGGGCACCTTTGTCTCCCTGCTTGGATTCTCCTTCTTCCTGGTAGAGCCCACTTGGGCCAGGAAAGTGGCCCTGGTG